GCCGTAGCCAGGCCGAGGTGGTTGAACTGCCCCAGCTTCCCTGGGCCGCCCATGCTGTGCCCACACCCGCCTCACGCGGTGCAGGTGCGCTTGTCCCTTCACCTGGCCCTTGGCGTGTGTGCTCCGTGGGCATGCACTGCCTGACCCGCTTAGAGTTTTTGCTGTTCAAAGCCATTATGGGTTTGTTCTGGAAGTTTTGCACTGTCATGTCTGCTCACTATGTTGCAGGTTAGGCCGCAGAGCTTGCTCATCTTAGATGGCCGCTTTTTCCCTGGACATTAGCGCACCAGCTGCTCAGGTCCCAACCGCTCACCCCGGGCATTCTTCTGGCCGTTGTTTGAGTTTACTGTAGCGCATCTGCGAAACGGCCCTTTGCGTCTTCTTGTCACCACTGTCCTGCAGCCTCTCTTTCCCCTTTCCCTCCTGAGCCTCAGAGGCATCCCTTGTCCCGAGCTTCTGCCACTCCGTTCACTGAGCGCTGCCCTGAGGCAGTCTGCGAGGTCTGTGTTGCACTGACTTGCTTTCCTGCGTAGCAGACGTGGCACAGACCTCGCCCTGCTGCACGGGGCAGCTTTATCCTCCGTGACCTTGTGGTGGGCATGCCCCCCTCGTGCGGAGTTTGCGCACCTGCCAGTTGCTCTCCGTCTGCACTGGGTTGTTTCCACGTCCTTGTTGTTGTGAGCAGGCTGCAGGAAACATCCTGGGCACAAGACTTTGCGAGGAGGTGATTTCAGGCTGTTTAGATTATGGCCATGAGTGGGACTGCTGCGTGCCCGTTTTGGTTTTTTTTAACCATTCTGCATCCTTTTAGGAAATGGCTACACCCTGCTTTACATTACAACCAGGGTAACAGTCCTCCTTCCCATCTTCTCCAGCGCTTACCGTCTTTGTCACTAGAGGCAGAAGGTAGCTCACTGTGGCTTTGACCTGCCGCTGCTCAGTCTTTGTTCTTTATCAACTCCAATTTGTGTGGCTTGGTGCCATGTGGTCTACATAAACACTCTGCACTGACATAGTCTTGTTAAACGGATAACAGTTAGCATCAGCCACTTACAGAAAGTACCGTTTCACTGCCCCCCACCTACACTTTTTTTTTAACATCGCAGCTTTATATTGTGCAGTCATTAGCAAGTCAGTGTGGCTAGAGTTATTAATTTATATATTTGTTTTGAAGATTTATGTTATATTTATTTATGCACACAAGAGCTGGGGTACAGGCCAGAGGTGTGGGGTTGCAAGGACCCCCTCAGAGACAGAGTGGGGAGCAGGTGGATCTGTTGAAACCCACTTCTGAGAGGCAGCAGGGAGACAGGAGGGGTCTCCTGGGCCCTGGGGTCCCTCCCTGTCCTGGGGTCAAACTTGTGCTGCGGTTGTTGGCTATAGCTTCATAGCACAGACTTGATTTAACTCCTCTGCTTCTAAGGAGGCCGGCTATAGTTACTTTGAGTGCTTTCAATGTCATGCCATAATAAATGAACCACAACCCCACACATTACCATGTTAATATTCTGTATTCCCTCTGTACTGCCCATAATATTTGTTGTTGTTGTTATTGGCATCACTTCATTTTAACCTGAAGATTACCATTAATATTCCTGATTCATCCAGTGATTGATGAACTCCCGCAGTTTTTCTTTGGCTTAGATAATATTTATGTCTCTGATGTTTGGGATAGAGCTTCCTTGCTAAGGACTTCTTGGTTCCTTTTTTTCCTTTTTAGAGTTTGAATTTACCATGCCGCAGGTCTGCAGTTTCTGCTGAGAAATAAGTGTATAGCCTTTTGGGAATTTCCCATAGGGAGTTTTCCAGTCAGCTTTGCTGAGGGCCCAGTAAGGTTGTCCTTTAGCACCCAGACTCCATGAACCCATCTGCAAAGTATCCCACATCCTCAGTGTGTGTGCTTGTTCCCCTCTTTGGAAGTCGGCATGTGCTTCATCTGGCTTCTCTGCCTTTAGGTTGCCGCTGTGGCTGTGAGGATGGAGTGATACCCTTTGAAGAGAGTGTTTCTGCAAGCATCTCAGCAGTCATGTCGCCTAAGCCTGCCTCCTCTTCTGAGAACACCCAGGCTGTTGAGATGTACATTCCTGTCTTGAGACATATTTTCCATGTTAACAAGCTTCCGGGAACACAAACCGATGAGAAAACGTTTGGGTGTGGGGTGTGCATGAAGCACTTCCGTTTTGGTGCAGACCTCCAGCATCATCAAAAGTGTGACTTGGGAGACAAAATCTTCAAGAGCTCCGAGGATGTGGTCACTGGAGAAAAGTCTCGGTCACATAGCGAATGTGAGAAGCCTTTTAACAGGCGCACTTCAATCTGTTTTCAGAAACTTCACACAGGACAAAGACCTTATGTGTGTCATGAGTGCGGGAAGTCTTTCACTCGAAAGGCAGTATTCCAGCAACACGAGAGAGTTCACACTGGAGAGAGGCCTTTTGTTTGCCGTGAATGTGGGAAATCTTTTACTTACAGGGCAGGACTCCAACAGCACCAGAGACTTCACACAGGAGAGCGGCCGTATGTGTGCAGTGAGTGTGGGAAATCCTTTACCCAGAAGTCAGTACTCCAGCAACACCAGAGACTTCACACTGGAGAGAGGCCTTTTGAGTGCACTCTATGTGGAAAGTCGTTTATAGGGAGATACCACTACATTGTACACCAGAGGGTTCACACAGGGGAAAGGCCTTACGAGTGTGGGGAATGCGGAAGAACTTTCACCTATAAGATAGGGCTCCAGCGGCACCAGAGGCATCACACAGGAGAAAGGCCATACGTGTGCAGTGAGTGTGGGAAATCTTTTGCCCAGAAAGCAGGACTCCAGCAACACCAGAGACTTCACACCGGAGAGAGACCTTTTGAGTGCACTGAATGTGGGAAGGCCTTTATAGGAAGGTACCACTATGTTGTACACCAGCGGGTTCATACTGGAGAAAGTCCTTACGAGTGTGGGGAATGTGGGAAATCCTTCACCTCGAGCTCTTCCCTCCGTGGTCACAAGAGGGTTCACACAGGAGAGCGGCCTTACCAGTGCAGTGAATGTGGGAAGTCTTTTGCCTGCAGCTCTACACTTCGTGGTCATAAGAGAGTTCACACGGGCGAAAGGCCTTATGAGTGTACTGAATGCGGAAAATTTTTTACCCATATCTCATCACGCAATCAGCACAAGAGGATTCACACAGGGGAAAGACCTCATCAGTGCAGTGAATGTGGGAAGTCTTTTAAGAAAGGAAGCCATCTCAAATTACACCAAAGTTCACACAGGAGAAAAGCCATAGGAATGCAGTGAATGTGGTAATTTTTCAGATAATGCTCTACCTTCTCTCAACACCAGTTCACATTGTAGCAAAGTCTCTGGATTAAACTGAATATGGAAAGTGCTTTGTTAACAACTCTAGTCTCTTTAAATGCTTGAGCTTCCCTGATCATGAGTCAAATGTGGAAAATCTTTTCTTATACCTTCACTGACATTTACCTCATGCTTTGCACACCAGATGTCTTTGTAAAAGTGATTTAGCCACTTTAGCTAATGCTATCTTCATTACACACTGGAGTTGACGACAGGAAAAGGCCTCCTAAGAGCTTGACTGTCACAAAGACATCAGACTTCTTCATTTCCTCACGTGAGGAAAGTAAATATGCAGGAAATGAGCTGTTTCTTGTTCAGTGTAGCAGCTTGGGGGAGATTCCAGATGTTGCCATCTGCCTCTGTTGAGCACACCCCTGATAGACTGGAAATTGTAGGTGTGGCACTGCACCATGCTCAGTTATTTGCCCTGGGCCCTTTCTGGGTCTATGCCTCTGCCAGTTCCATCGCCACATCCATCCTTTTAGTAACCATGGGCACCAGCAAGTCCAGGAACTCAGCCTCCATGTTCTCCTCCTAGTGTGCAGAGACAGCTCTCATTTCTTCCTTTCATTTTTGAGTTTTGTTTTGTTCATTCTCCCTTAGTGGTAAAAATCAATGTACACCTCCTCTCAGTGTCATCAGTAATATGAGCAGTTTTTTAGTCTGTATCACTCTGCCTATAATCAAAATCCATGAAATGGGTATTTTCAGGGGAGTTACTAGTCTCACCATGACTCGCAATGGAATCTTCCTGCCACAAGTCACTAACCCAGGAACAGTGTTTCTCCTACTGTCTGGTTTGTCATGAAGTCCTATTATTTCAGCACCATGTAATCTTAGGGTTTCTGTTAACTGGGTGTGTTTTGAAAACAGGTTCTATTAAGTTGAAGGGTGAATAGATTTCATTTGCTGGACTTTTTGTGCCTTGTGAGAACTATATAGCTGGCGACACAGCTCTCCATTTTAACCTTGCCTGCTCTGCTGCCCACGGTCTCCAAGAAGACAGTGCAGCACATTCTGATCCTTGCTGCAGGCTGGATGCTCTTCAGTTTTGGCTGAGTCCTGTCACCCTGAAGAGTCACTGTGGCACCCTCAAGTCCTGTAGTAACAGCGTGAATTTCCCCCTAGTTCACAGGGGCCATGACAGCAACAGCACACTGTTGGTTGGAATCTGCCCCATTCCGGTGACAGTGAGCACGCAGGATTTGCTCACACTCAAATCTCAGGACCTCCAGGCATGTTCAGAGGAAAAATTGTAGGGTGTCGTGGCCTTCCGTTATACCTGTCCACTGCCTCCCAGGCAGGTAGGGATAGAGCACGGGGGACCCACAGTGCACAGGCGTGGCTGCTGTGACCAGCGGCTTTCCAGGCTCCTTGGGTGGAAGTGTCCCTCCTCACTCACAGGTAGTTGGTGCTTGTGAGAGAAGGCTGACCCCGGAGGACGTGCACAGAGGAGTCAGTTCAGGACTGCTGAGCGTGTTTCCAACAGAAACCCAGTATATGGACTGTTTTTGCCTTGAGCCTTCTTTTTTTCTCATGAGATAGGTACCATACCAGCGTTATACCTAGGTGTAAGGGGGCACGTCACACACCATGTTAGAACATCTCATCCTCTTGCTTATGACCTAGGAAAAGATCGCCTTGGGCCAATTATTGAAGCTTTACTAAGATTTACATGCAATAAGTGACATTTTGGACATGCAGTATTTTATAGGTTGCCCCATTGTGCATCTGTGACCCCATCGTCTTAGTTGTGGTACTAACATGCCTGTAGCCATCTTGAACTCCAGTGTTTCTAGCGCTGTCTGTTCTTCCCATGACCAACTTACTTTCCCATCATAGAGGTTTCCATTTTCCAAAGTTAAGTGATTGTTTTTGCCATTGTTCACTCCTTTCTGACTTAGTTGTGTATAATTGCTTAGCTTTTCATCAAAGGTCCACTGTCAGTACTTCAGCTCTCTCTGCAGTTACGCACTATTTTCTGGATTTGTTTCTGAACATCTGGTTTTCTTATTTAGTTTCTAGAGTATTTAAAACTGGTAATATATACTGTTGGTTGATACGATTATATAATTCATTTTTCTATAATACAATGTCAGTCACAGGGTGCTGCGTATCAAGGTCGAAGAATCGAACACCTTGTGTTCTAAGTTGTTCCTTTTTGCATTCTTGTCAACACTCATAGGATTTCCCGTCTGCACATTCTAGCTAATACTTGTCTAGTGAAGTGCTAATACTTGCCTAGTTTAGCCCTTTTAATAAATTTCTCATCCTGTCTCACTGTTACTTTCGTTGCATTTTTCTAAGAATTTCAGTATCTTTTTTATCTCTAGTTCTATAATAAAATGTACTCATCTGTTCTTACATCTTTTAGTAACTTTGCTCTTTAACAACAATTTTTGAATCTCACTCATTCTGGAACGTCTGGGCAACGTCTGATAAGCATGTATAATTGTTTTCAATTTGAAGAACATACTTCTCTTCAAACATTGTGCTTTGTACTATTGAATGCCTATATTTGCCACATTTCTAAGATTACAGGGCTTCATTATTATATAAGTCTGAACATTTGATGATGCACAGTAATCTTGCCGAATACTGTTTGCTCATTTTCCTGGCCTGCTCTAAGTGGGTGCCATGTAGGGAAGCAGGTCTCCTGATTGGTGAGACCTCAAAGTCTAGACAAAGTGGAGAAAGGGCAGTGATCGGACTCGCCTGGTCGTGGAGCAGATCTGTATTTGAAACCTAAGTCCCCTTTCCCGGAGTTCGCACAGAATGCCTCCACTGGGCCTCAGTTTGCTCCTATATAACGGGTGTTGAGTGGCCCTGTTCCTTTGCTACAGATCAAGGCCTGTGCTGCCCATACTGCACAGCCTCTGGGCCCGTAGGCCCCACATGCTTGATGGGTAAGGCAACCTGTCTTCACGCGGAAGTGGGAAGTGTCAAGCGCTCAGCTGTCGGTGTGGTGTCCGACCGTGAGATTTTGGTGACTTGCTAGAGCTCGAAGCATCTCCTTTGTGGTGACATGCAGGTGATGATGGCACTTACTATTACTCTGAGAATCAGGAATAGTATCAACACAGTACTCAGGTGAGGGCATCCCAGCGCTTGCTTTTAGAGTTAAGTAAGGTTTGGGCCTGTCTCTGGGCGCAGGAGTTAAATCTCCACTCCCAAGCTGTCCAAAGCCACTGCAGCCTGAGTCCACCAGGCCAGGAGAGACCCACAGGGCAGAGCTGACCCTTGCTGCCTCCCCGCTGCCACCTCAGCAGAGGGTTTCAGTGGATCCGCCTGTGCCACTTTCCACTCTGACTGGGGAGTCGTCTCACCTCCCCGTATTTCTGGCCTGTACCCCAGGTCTTATATGGATAAATAAAAAATCTTGGAGAAGAAAAATAAAAGCGAGTAAGCGCCACCATCTCCCGCTGTAGCGGACTCCTCCGCCCACGCGCTGCTCGCCGGGACCCTCTTTCTGTAGGCGAGCTTCGGGGCGCCGCGGCAGCTGAGGAAACTACCGCACCCAGAGGGCAGCGCCTCGGACCACGCCCGAGCAGTGGACGCCCGGGCACGCGCCGCTGTCAGCGAGTGGGCAGCGCGCGGGGCGGGACTTCCGGCGGCGTCTTCCTGGCGGATCCTGAGGCGCCGGTGGAGGCTGTTGGCTCCGCGGAGGCTCGGAGCGCCGGCGGCGCCCTTAGACCGCACCGACAGGCGTCCC